TCTGGGTGGATGGGCAACAAGATGGATAAGTAACTGGTTGACTTAAAGGGTAGTGGTTAATGGGTCATACTCCACCTGGGGGCTGGTAACAAGCAGCAGGCAGGTCTTTCCTGCAGGAGGTGGTGGAGCACACTCTCCCTGGGTTTGCAGATGACACCAAACTGGGGAGGTCAGTCAGTAAGGGCAAGGGCAGGGCTGCCATCCAGGGGGCCCTGGAGAGGCTGGAAGAGCAGACTGAGGGGAACCTTGAGAAGTTCAACAGGTAGAAAGGCAAAACCCCATGCCTGGGCAGGAAGAGGCCCTGCAGCAAGACCAGCTGGGGACTGATTAGAGAGCAGCCCTGAGTGAAGGCCCTGGGGGTGCAGTGGGCAGTGAGCTGGGCACAAGACAGCAGCTTGCTGGGCATCAGGGGAGGCCACAGCATCCTGGGCTGTATGCACAGGAACGTGGCCAGGAGATCAAGGGAAAGGATTATCCTCCCCTTTGCAGCATGTCTACATGCTGTGTCCAGTTTTGGGCCCCCCCTGTACAGGAGGAACATCAAAAGCCTGGAGTCAGTTCAATGAGGGGTACTTGAGACTCTTGGTATCTTTAGTGAAAGCAGAAATGCCTTAGAAGAATATTTGCACACATTTGATGGTCTGGTTGCATGAGATTATACAAAAAAAAACAGATGAACTATAGAGGGGATGGAAAAAGGACATTTAGTCTGAGCTCCAGCTTTATTACTCTGTATCTTTCCCTCTTTAGGGAGATTATATAGTTCTTCTGAGAACTATAATAACATCATAAATTAATTGAAGGAATGTAAATCAATTGTATAACAGTATGAAAGCAGCAAAAAACATTTGGGCAACGACATCTTTCACATTATGTGTAAGGGATGTGTTAGTAATCTCAAGAACCAGTGTTTTCAATTGCTGAGGCTTTTTTATAGTCATTATTCTAATTATTTTTTATTTAGCCATATTTATTTAGGAAAGTTATTGTTTATAACTGGAAAATTGTTTACATTCAAGTGTAAAATGGTCATTTAGCTTATTGTTTGGATAGAAGCATTAGCTAATGCGACAGAATTTTAGTTTGTAGCAAGTGTCAATCAGGCATATGAATGATACAAAAAAGGGTCCTTAACACTTAAGGTATATATAAGCTATTATAAGATATATAAAAACTACTGTAATTTGTTCCTTTGAAGTCTGGATTCATGTAGTGTCTAGTTCAAACACTTAAGATAGGGGAGAGAAGTTTTCCAAGAAGTATACAGTTCATTTCTAAACAAAGTATAAAGTCATTAAGAAATTATCTTTCATGTGGTCCTGGCTTTAATAAATCTATCTTGTTATAGGAGTACAGAGTCTGCTTAGGACAGCTTGTGGCTGCAGAAAGGTAGCCAGAAATGTAAACAGAAATGTGAAAACATGGATGTAGTACCGGATAATATTATTATGCTTCTAGTCTTGTCTTGATTTTTAAAGTCTTTGGCCTATTTTTACAGCTAAATAGTGTTGTTTTATTCCCAATAAAAAGGCTGAGAGGGGGAATGCCTATAGGGAAGGTCAGTGCATTAAGGGATACACTCTGGACACTGATTTATATATTTTTTTCATTGACCATTAAGAGCACAGAGTAGTGCTTTTAATGATGGGAATCAGCTGGTACAGTTTTCCAGGTCCTATTAGCTGATACAGGCAGATCCACAGGAGCAGAAGCAGGTGATGACTACAGCTTTTTGTCCTGCTGAGGTGTTTGGAGGAGTCATTGCCTGAAACTTTGTGATAAATCCTCACCTGGCTGGAGGAGGTGAGAGCAGGGCAGCTCCTCGGTAGGGAGGGCAGCACGGCCCCAGAGGCTGTTTCAGGCTGGGGTGACTGACTCCAGGGTGGTAGGACCAACTTCCATGCTCCAGCGTCTGTGAAACAGGTCAAAACGTAGGCAGCTTGTGGGGAGGCACACAAGGGTCAGGAGAGTGCCTGGTCCAGCAGTGTTGGAGAAAATGGAATGTGGCTGGGAGGAGGCAGGCTGGAAGCTGCAGTGTGGCTGGGAGGGGGGTGAGCTGCAGGCTGGCCGTGGGGCTGCTCCCAGGGAGGGGGCTGAAGGCTGTACCTCAGCACCTGAGTTCCCAGTTTTTAAGAAATATTTTGCCTGCTTTTAGTTCTGTTCTCTTGAGAGCCATAGCTGGTCTGGAAGTGAAGTTGCCTTGTATTTGGATTATCATGGCAACTCCTATGTCTGCATCAAGTTGTGAATTAGCATTTTCTGTGTAGTCTGCTTTTTTTTTTGCACACAGTAGTGTGATTGAGAAATAGGTGCAGCTGCTAGTTCAAAGGTACAATTTTATGGTGAAATGAAAAATGCAGTAGCATTTTAAGTGTATCGGGTCTCTGTTTGCATCCTAGGAATAATTCATATGTGGACATGAACAGTATATGATGGTATATGGATGATACTCTTGTCTGTCTTAGAACTCCTTTGGTGCCCTCTCTGTTTAGTGTTTTATAAGCATGTAAAACTACACTTAGGTTATGGAAAACATAATTCTGAATGGCTTTTTAAAAGAAACAATATACCCATTTTTCTGGTGTTTCAGGTTTGACCATTAGCTTCATCTAGCCATCCTTAGCATTTCTGACAACAAACAGGAACACCATATGTGTGAGTTTGGTTTTGCTTAGCCAAGAAAATTATCTTACGCCTGGCAGACTGTGAATTCATGCAGCAAGGTTCTTAATAATAATTCTCAGAAGCTGACTGTGAAGAACAAGCCTATGACAACTCTTCAGCTAATGCATTTTGAGTTTCTTTAGAACGTGTCAGCACAGCAGGCAGCTGTTAGCATTTAGCTTTAGCCAGTGACAATTTCAATAGTTAACAGGACATCTTAGGCAAAATGAAAAAAACAGAGAGTGCAGTGCTAAGAAAAGAAGTTGTATCAGTCTCCTAAGTTTTTTGGATACTGCCTCTGTTCTTGGGTTAAAACTGTCCTGAAAGTACCAACATAGCGTGCAAAACTGTCACAATATATTATGAGAAAGACATGACATTTCTGTTGTCTGTGAGAGCTGCTGGCTTTTTAAATTATAATTAGATAGCATTTCTGCATCATACACAAGGTTATAAATAATTGCTTATCATTCAGGATTGCAGTAAAGGAACCATTTCAAGGAGCATGGAATCTATACACTACAGTTTAATTGATATAAAGGTGTGTTTACTTAAAGGAAAATGCCTTCCCTATTATACACTGATGTTTTACTTATGAAATCTGCTTTAGTAAGCATATTTCAAGTTTATTTACTGATGCTTTAATTAGGTGTGTCCAGTTTTATGGCTCCTCTTGGCAACTATCACAGCTCAGTTGCTTCTGTATATGGTCTGTGACCTTGATGCAGTTAATGGAGTGAATTACTGCTTTCTGATGTTTCTTCCTGATTTCATAAAATGTGTTTTGCATTTGGATAATAATCTCCATAATGGCAAATACTTTTAATTAGTTTCCTTCTTGTAAAATATCATTAACTACATTTTCTCTCAAAGACTGACATGATGCTTGTTCTAGACAACCTTACGCTCTCAGCATTTATCTCTGTGGATGCCATATTCTGGCTGTGTCTGTCTGTTGTGTGGAAGCTTGGAATTTTTTTTTACCCAGCAGTATTTGTTGGAGCTTCCCTTTATGGGCAGAAGAGCTCAGTCCAGCAACTCCTCTCACTGCTGCCCCAATCCATCCCGTCAGCAGCTCAGCTAGAATTTTTTATTTATTTATTTATTTTAAATTGTAATCAGAGGAATCATAAGTCTGGTTTAGAAAAATGGACAAAGGACTCTGACAGGAAGGGTTCTGGTTTACATATTCCTCCTGAAAACCTTTTGTTTCCAAAGCATGCTTTAAGAGTGGTCTGGCTGGTGGTTAGTACTTCAATAGCTACCACATCTTTTTTATTCCACGTGATGTTATTCTTCACTGAACAGCACGATGCTTTTCTTTGTACATCCCCTGGACCCCTGTAGAGCAAACCAGGAGGGAAGGAGTCCTAGTGATGTGCGGTCTAATCCTGCTTTCACTGTAGGAGGAGAGAGGAACTGCTAAGAGACTCAGTGTAGATATGTATACGCAAACTTGGTTGTGTCTGTACAAGCCTTGCTGCTGGGTGTTGTGTTAGTAGTTCGTGGCTTTGGACACTGCTTTTTTGGTGTCGGTATCATCATCTTCTGGCAGCTCTTTGCTGCTGTATGCAGAGAAGACCACGTAGATTGACGTTAATAAGTGTGTAGTGGTGTCATTGCAAATGGTGCTGTTTACCTGCCTCCTGGCCACTCAGGCTGCCCTTACAGCCTCTTTGGGTACGTGCCTGCACCACACATGGGGTATTCTTCACAGTCTTTTTCCAGTGTGTCTGAAGGCTGACAAAGCCAGAATCTGACACACGTGTCCGCACACCCATATGTATGTGTATTTGTATGTTTGTATACATGAGCATACATATATATATATATCTATATATATCTATATATATATATTTTCAGTTAAGAAACTGAGGAAATGTGCTGCAATATTCAAAGTATTCCTTTTTATATATATTTTCAGTTGTATTGTAGTGGAAATGTGCTGCAATATTCAAAGTATTCCTTTTCTGTGTATTAGGTATGCACAGCAGCAGAAGCATCATTATCTGATAGCGCTTTTTTGGCAGAATTCTGAAATTCTGATGGGCAGTGCTTTAGGGTCTTGCTGTTCATACAGTTCAAGAAATCTGTATCTTGCCTCAAGAGTAATAGCTATGACTTCACTTTAATGTGAAGGTCATGCTGCCTAATAAAGTATTCTTATCCTGTCAGTTTTAAAATATAGTTGCAAAGCACAGTAACCCTCTTTTTATAACAGCCTGTGTTAATAGCCTCAAGTGCAGTCTTGTCAGTGTTGAACTGGTTCAGTAGCTTTAAAATTCTGAGTCAGGGGGATGTACATGCAATATTTGATTTGTTTGTTTTATGCTCAGCTGAGCTAGATGCTGAACATGCACAGAAGGTTTTGGATATGGAGCACACCCAGCAGATGAAGCTAAAGGAACGTCAGAAGTTCTTTGAAGAAGCCTTCCAGCAGGACATGGAGCAATACCTTTCTACAGGATACTTGCAGATAACAGAGAGGCGAGGCAAGTTTTAAAATACCTTCTTTGTAATCCTCAAACTCACAGCTGGAGAACATTGTTGAGGGGTCTGTACCAGCAGTGGTTTTAATACTACAGATGAAGAATTGCAGTGTCTAAAATCTTCCTAAGTGGAACTGAAACTTCAGGTAGATAAGCTCCTGAAACTGTGGGTTCCAAGGGAACTAGACACCTTAGAAAATCAGACTCTCTGCTCGTTGTCTGAGAAAATGCAAAGCACTGAAGTGTATCTGGAACAGCACTTCTCTCTGCAGCTGAAGAGTGCATCCATATCTATAAAGATACGGAAGGATGTGGCCACTTCTGTACACTGGAGTTCCAAAGCCTGGGATTGTCACGTGTCAGGAGGTGCCTCAGCAGAATTTTAAAAGTGCAGACAAAAGATCCAATCTTGTATTTCGAAACAATTCCCAGGTGGTGACTATTTCCATTGTCTATGTAACATACAGAGTATGCGATAAGGACGCAGGAGATCAGATTAAACTCTCTCCTTATGAGATTACTCAAATCTGGCATCTCCCAAAGCACAAGAATGGCATTGACTACAGACAGTTCTGTGTGGGAGGTATCTGTCTGTTGGGCCAAAATTTAGGGATTGTAGGACCGAAAAGCAAGCCAGCAGTAGATTACATCACTCATGTAGCAGGGAATAAACGTAGGGGTTCTGTCCCTACTCCGAGACCATTTCTGCTATGATTTGTAATGTCAGAGCAGGGGAATACAATCCAAGGTTTCAGTTTCTCTGCTATGAATGTTTATCTAGAAGATACTCTAGATTGGTTGCTAGGACAGCCACCTGAGAAGTGGGATATGTAATTTAAGTTCCTTAGGTGTAGAAAGGAATCAAGTTTGGATCTCCTAATTTATTTATATATATATAGATAGGCCTCTGAAGCTAAAATTGGGCATTGTCACTGGCTAGTTAGTGCTGGATGCATGGCTCTGTTAGAAGGTTAGAACACCTAACTATCTGAACTTCAGCTTTGCAGAATAATTCACAGTCTTTTTCCAGTGTGTCTGAAGGCTGACAAAGCCAGAATCTGACACACGTGTCCGCACACCCATATGTATGTGTATTTGTATGTTTGTATACATGAGCATACATATATATATATATCTATATATATCTATATATATATATTTTCAGTTGTATTGTAGTGGAAATGTGCTGCAATATTCAAAGTATTCCTTTCTGTGTATTAGGTATGCACAGCAGCAGAAGCATCATTATCTGATAGCGCTTTTTTGGCAGAATTCTGAAATTCTGATGGGCAGTGCTTTAGGGTCTTGCTGTTCATACAGTTCAAGAAATCTGTATCTTGCCTCAAGAGTAATAGGAGCATCATTATCTGATAGCGCTTTTTTGGCAGAATTCTGAAATTCTGATGGGCAGTGCTTTAGGGTCTTGCTGTTCATACAGTTCAAGAAATCTGTATCTTGCCTCAAGAGTAATAGCTATGACTTCACTTTAATGTGAAGGTCATGCTGCCTAATAAAGTATTCTTATCCTGTCAGTTTTAAAATATAGTTGCAAAGCACAGTAACCCTCTTTTTATAACAGCCTGTGTTAATAGCCTCAAGTGCAGTCTTGTCAGTGTTGAACTGGTTCAGTAGCTTTAAAATTCTGAGTCAGGGGGATGTACATGCAATATTTGATTTGTTTGTTTTATGCTCAGCTGAGCTAGATGCTGAACATGCACAGAAGGTTTTGGATATGGAGCACACCCAGCAGATGAAGCTAAAGGAACGTCAGAAGTTCTTTGAAGAAGCCTTCCAGCAGGACATGGAGCAATACCTTTCTACAGGATACTTGCAGATAACAGAGAGGCGAGGCAAGTTTTAAAATACCTTCTTTGTAATCCTCAAACTCACAGCTGGAGAACATTGTTGAGGGGTCTGTACCAGCAGTGGTTTTAATACTACAGATGAAGAATTGCAGTGTCTAAAATCTTCCTAAGTGGAACTGAAACTTCAGGTAGATAAGCTCCTGAAACTGTGGGTTCCAAGGGAACTAGACACCTTAGAAAATCAGACTCTCTGCTCGTTGTCTGAGAAAATGCAAAGCACTGAAGTGTATCTGGAACAGCACTTCTCTCTGCAGCTGAAGAGTGCATCCATATCTATAAAGATACGGAAGGATGTGGCCACTTCTGTACACTGGAGTTCCAAAGCCTGGGATTGTCACGTGTCAGGAGGTGCCTCAGCAGAATTTTAAAAGTGCAGACAAAAGATCCAATCTTGTATTTCGAAACAATTCCCAGGTGGTGACTATTTCCATTGTCTATGTAACATACAGAGTATGCGATAAGGACGCAGGAGATCAGATTAAACTCTCTCCTTATGAGATTACTCAAATCTGGCATCTCCCAAAGCACAAGAATGGCATTGACTACAGACAGTTCTGTGTGGGAGGTATCTGTCTGTTGGGCCAAAATTTAGGGATTGTAGGACCGAAAAGCAAGCCAGCAGTAGATTACATCACTCATGTAGCAGGGAATAAACGTAGGGGTTCTGTCCCTACTCCGAGACCATTTCTGCTATGATTTGTAATGTCAGAGCAGGGGAATACAATCCAAGGTTTCAGTTTCTCTGCTATGAATGTTTATCTAGAAGATACTCTAGATTGGTTGCTAGGACAGCCACCTGAGAAGTGGGATATGTAATTTAAGTTCCTTAGGTGTAGAAAGGAATCAAGTTTGGATCTCCTAATTTATTTATATATATATAGATAGGCCTCTGAAGCTAAAATTGGGCATTGTCACTGGCTAGTTAGTGCTGGATGCATGGCTCTGTTAGAAGGTTAGAACACCTAACTATCTGAACTTCAGCTTTGCAGAATAATGCAGAACCCATCAAATAACTGCTTTTAGGGAAGATTTGATCCTGCAGCTATAGTGTATGGGGGGGTATATCAATAATCAAATTATAGGATTTAATCCCCATTCATATATGAAGGTTTTTAATAGTGCAATTATTGAATTACATTAAATTAACCATTAAATTAATTAAATAAACCATTAAACTGTTTGTTGGGATAATTGATGTTATATATGCAGCAACTGAACCTAAATCTGAGTACCCCTGAACTTACTTGTTCTCTTTGTATGCTTTATTGTTCAAGGAAGAAGATGCTTCCCCAAGTATTTAATTCCCTTGTGAATTGTCGGTATAATATTGACAATAATAAGTCATTTGCTTAAGTAATTAATAATGTGAAATCCCCATGCTGAGTGAAGACATTGGGCAGCAGTCTAGGTTTTGCAGACTACTGTAATTTGTTAGACCAGTTGATTGAGGAGAAAGAACAGCTGCTCTCTGTTAACATTAATCCTTATTTCTGAATGTTCATGTCCCTTTGTGTATTGACATTTAGTGGTTGTGCATTTAAATGTGTTTGTTTTTCTCTAAAAAGCCTTCTAGTCAAGAGAGTTGGAGTGTTACAAAATGGAAAGTTTTGATCTTTGTCCCTAAGCCCCATCCTACCATTTTTCTGACATTGCTCTTGCTATAAATATTGTTGCTAAAAACACTGTTTGACAAAACAGCGATGGATCATAACAAAGACTGCAGAGCACTCTTGGATTGGGGCTGAGGTTGCTGCTGAGCAGCTCCTGTGGGTTGCTCCTTCCCTGTCCAGTTCCACTAGTTCCATTATTACTAATGCAGATGATTGTAGCAGCGATTGAAGCCTTTCTAGGTAAGAACACCATGGGACTGACTGTCAGTTTGCTCACTGCACTGTTTTTACTGCAGAACCTATTGGCAGTATGTCTTCCATGGAGGTGAACGTGGACATGCTGGAACAGATGGACCTCATGGACATGTCTGACCAAGAGGCACTTGATGTCTTCTTAAACTCAGGAGGCGAAGACAATAATATGCTTTCTCCCATGCTGGGTATGATACTAATAATGAGCTAAAGCAATGAATCACTGAAATTATTCTCATCTGTAATGGATGATGTTATCTCACACAACATTATACTTCATGAGGATTGAGTGGTTTTTATTAGTGGTTTACAAAGCATTAACCCTTAGTTGTAATACAGTGTGTTTGCTGCAAAATAACTTGGTATTTCTGGACTGTCTCTTTTTTCATCTGGTTGCTACAGCTTCATGTTGTATTTGCCACAGTAAGTTGCATCTTTCTTGATGTAAAGTTTAGAGAGGACATTTTAACAATAGAAAGTTTGTAGTAGCTAAGTATTTAAGACTGCTTTCTTAGACTTTGTCCAGGATTTGGCTTTTTGAAGTTGTATATTGTTAGAACTTCAGTAGGAGATATTGAGAGATGTGGTTCAGCACAGTAGTTCATATGCATGGATCATAAGAATGTACTGGAAGCTTCTGAATAGTCATTCTGACACTGCAGCTCTTCCACGTAGCCTTCTTACTACTAGTAATGTTAGTTAAATTGGATTTAATTAATCTTAATCTGAAATTTTGTTTACGTGTTCTGAGGAACAAAACCAGATTTAAACTTTGCAAATTGAAGCATGATAAGGCATCTACTTAAAGCAGGGGATTAGTAATGCTGGATACTTTATCCACTAGGGAAGTGTGCTTTCTTAATTAAAAACTTATTTTAGTACTAAAATGCCTTTTCCCAAGAGTCAAAAAAAACTTTTCTTGGGGGTGATGGTGAAGCTCCTTTGAGTGTAATTAGATTTCATTTGAAAATACAGGTTGAAATACTATTATAAAAGTACTTCCAGTGAAGAAGCAGTAGACCTTAAGACCTCTCCTGTATTTTGGGATATAGCAAGAAAAAATGTTAATAATATCCTGGGGTAGTTTTCTTCCTCTCTGTGCAAAGGTGATGATTACCTGCTGTGAACATGAGAAGCTTATGAAAAGTAGTCAGAGCACACTTGACTACTAAAGGTTTTACTGCAAAAATTAATATCAGATGCCTGGTTTTGGGTAGGCATCCAACTTGTGCATTGTGACAGTTGATCACAGAGCAGGCCAGCAATGAGAGAGTCTAGGACTGCTTTCCTTCCCCTTGCTGCATCTTTGGCAGATGTTGGACCAAGAAGCTTTGTGTCTTAGCAACAAATAAGAGTAAGTGGATTATCTCTGTATGGAAGTGTAGAAACTACTTAGTAGATGTGGTTGTTTTCTCCTAGAAAAGCAAAAAAATTAGTGGCCTTAACTGCATTAATGACTTTGTGCAAGTGCTACAGTGTGTATGTGTGGATATATATTTATATTCTATCTGCACATACACTGCGCTATAATGCACTGGTGCTGTGATGTGCTGGCACTGTAACCTTCAGGCAGAGGTTGGACAGGCTTGCAGCAAGACTTAACCCTCCCTCAGCAGTTACCGCTACAGCAGTGGAACAGTCTTGTGCATCTTTTACTGTTGTTCCAGAGGATTCATTTCCCTCTGAATTAGAAGGGATTTTTGTGCTGGCTCTAAGGGCTTTGCACCCTATTATCAAGGCAAAATATGCAATAGTGTTTATTCTCAGAAAAATGAGATGGCTGAAAGGTAACTCATCATTTTGCTGTAGGTGGAGAACTGGGTCAGTCAGGGAAAGGTTTGTTTCACCCTTTTACTGACTACCAGAGAGTACACACAAGTTATTTTCTTAACTGGTAAAAATTGCCATCAGCTCAAGACATTACAATGTAATGTATAGCTCAGTTAATATCCTGACATCTCTGTTCACCTGCTGAGCCACAGCTTGACTTCTGCTGTTGTTCTTTTTCCACCCATAAGGGCCCGACTCCAGCACCTACGTCAGTGAGATAAGTCTTCAGGTTCCAAGCCAGTCTGAGTTACGGCAGAAACTGTCTTCCCTGTCCTCGACCTGCACCGACTCTGCCAGCCAAGATGCAAGTGAAGGAGAGTCTCCAGTTGTTCAGTCTGACGAGGAGGAAGTTCAAGTGGACACTGCTCTTGCTGCTGTAGCTGAAAGAAAGGGCGCGTCAGATGTTAGTGATGAAAGTGACTCTCAAACTATTTGAATCTTAAAACCATATCCTTTAAGAATGACTTCTGAATGAATGAACAAGTGAATGAAGAGCTTGCCTGTGTAACCATTTGCTAACCAAGCATAACAGCCAGACCTTTTTACTTAGTAATACAGCCTTTTTACAAAATTGCCAGTCATGTGGAGGTTGGTTTTTAAAAAAAAAAAAAAAAAGCCTAAAGCACACACACTTTAACAGTAGTCTTGGGGCTGAGGGGAGCAGTAGAACTGTTGTATATACTATGCATTTTTTTTTAGTAATACAGCCTTTTTACAAAATTGCCAGTCATGTGGGGGTTGGTTTTTAAAAAAAAAAAAAAAAGCCTAAAGCACACACACTTTAACAGTAGTCTTGGGGCTGAGGGGAGCAGTAGAACTGTTGTATATACTATGTATAAGAGAATTAAAGGAGAAAGCTACAAGTTGACCACTAACCTTTAAATGGCTGATGGTAAAGACTTAGACTTGATGTGTAACACTGAACCCAAATTGTTCCTTGCATGTTTTCAGCTGCTGCAACTGAAGATTTAGGATCCAAACCAAAATGAAAAGTTATTTTCTACTCTTTACTACCTACTGTCTGCCTACTGCCTTTGTCTATTAATGCAGCAGTGTCTACTCTCTCACACTTCTTATTCAGGACCAACTTAGTTATCATAGGTGTTAAGGAAAAAAAAAAAAAAAGAAACTGAAGAGGAGGAGAGATGTGTATTGAAATGTTACACTCCTCATGGAGCAGATATCTTAGCACTGTATAAACTTACTCCTCTTTTGAGATAAAATAAAGTATTTCTATCCCAACCCTGTCTTTTACTTGATTACCCAAATATTTTATCGATGGCAGTGAACAGAGGAGACTAATTTCACAGTAAGGAAAAAAAATGGTTATTTATACTGAGCACCAGTGTAATTTATATTTCCATGGTAATGTTTGACTACACTGATGCAATCCAGTGATTTAAGGGAGATAAATCTGAATTATATTATAAATTGTGCACATTTTATAAACCTTAGGCCCTATAGTCCTTGTCACCTTACTGCCATTTTTTTCTGCAGTAATTTTTCTCTCTAAACTTGAGGTCTGAACATGTCTAACACCTGTTTCTTGTCAAGTCTCACACTCTGTTTGCAGGGCTCTGCTCTCCTTTGAGAAGGCTCCTGGCTCCTGCTCTTCATGCACAGAGGGAAGGAATGTAATCAGAAACAGCGTAAGTAAAGTAAAAGGACAAGCTGTGATGTAGCTCCTTTCCAAAGACCTGCCCTGGCAAATCTAATGGTTGGGAATGAGGCATCCCCTGCTGCTTGCCAGCTGGGAAGTGGCCAGTTCCCTTAAGGATTCACTTTAACTCCTGTTACCTGACAAAGTGTTTCCTGACCCCTTTCTGGGAAACATCCTTGCAGCTCCCTGCCTACTACTAGATACTATTTAGCAAAGCAGCTATTGAGAAAGAAATTGTTCTTGAAGGAACTTACTTTACTCACTCACTTTCCAGAAGACAGACAAAATGTCCAAAAAGTTTTGTTTTTTTATTAAACCTCGTAGTACAAACCTGGAAAGTAAACAAAAAACTGGCAATAAACAACATGAAGTCTTTCCTTACAAGGAAAGAGAGCAGAGCAGCGCTAATAAATTAAATGTCAAACTGTAAGCCATAGTCAGAAGTTTACTGTCAAGAGGGAAAAGTACACAGCAAGGCCATAAAAACCAGACAACCACATTTGAAAACACTTGACTCTGTTTATGTTATTGTTAAATATTCCAAAACAGTTCAGTCTTCTGCAACAACAACCAACAAACTGTATTATAGGACTTTCCTGACAGTCACCACTGGCAAGCTCAGTGCAATATGGGTAGCTACGGTATTTGTTGAATTCAATTACGAAACAAAACAGTTTGTGAAAACATTTTCCCTTTTTTATTCCACACATACTGTACACACAACCAGAAAAGGGCAACAGCTACTCCATTATTATTTTTTGTTGTTGTTCAGTGATGTAAGCAGCACTTATAAATGTTACAAGAAAAACCCTGTAAGCATCCAATCCAACCGATGAAGAAAGTGAAACGTAAGGCTTTTCTTCATCTTGTCTCTTTGCCATCCCTCCCCCCACCCCAAGAAAAGGCTCAAGTATTTAAAAAAATTTACAGGCATATGTACAAAAGGTGTGATTTTTTTTTTTTTTTTTTTTTTTTTTACAACATGAAGAGAAAAAATAGACAAGATGAAAGCAAATGCATTTTCACATTCAAAAGAAATATGCAGACCTGCTAGTGGCTCTAAATGTGATCATATAATGAAACAAATTCAAAACAAAAAAAATTAATGCTTGACTGTGTGGAAGGTGTGAAAAACAGCAGTGGAATGGAAATGGAATGTTAGAAAGATTGCACGTCTATGACAAAGAAGCACTTATGGCTTCAATCACTTTTTTTTCTCTTTTTCTTTTTTTTTTCTTTTTTTTCTTTTTTGTTTTAAAGGATGCTATTGAAGGGTTTTTTGATAAAGTAGCCAACAGCACCAAAAAATAACAGAATGGATTTCCTAATGAAATCAGGCACAGTTTTCCCCTCACATGACTCCTCAAGGCAGGCAGTCTTTTTTCCTCCTTTTTTTTTTTTATTTTTTTTGTGTTTTTTTTTTTCTTTAAAGTTGTCTTTTTTATTATTTTTTTTCCCCCTCAAAACAGATGCATAGTGATGTGCTGGTAAAAGAGAACATACTCCAAATCTCCTCCTTTTGCCTACAGTTAGGAAACAAAGTCCATCTTCAGCTGCCATAACCTCCCAAAGAAAGTGTGTATTCTCCAATTTAAAAAATTACAAAACTCATCTTGCTGTGACAGAATAAAAGACAGCCAAAGTAAAGCAATTTCTTTCAAGTTTTTTGTCTCCTATCCCTTTCTCTCTAGAAAAATCTGCTCACGTGACTGGAGAACAAATTATAAAACACATCCAACTTGAACCTATTAAAAAAAAATGGGTTAAAAGCCTTTTCTGTTTTGTTTTTCTTTTTTCACAGTTACCAAAAAAGGCTTTTTCTTTTTCTCAGCCATAGGGACAATACAAATTAATGTTTTATCAGCCCCTCGCCGGGTTCAAACAGCGAACATACGGCAGTTTAAAAAAATCAGACTCCTATCTCTATCTAATTCTTAAGTACAAAAAAAAAAAAATTTCAACAGTTTAATGCTAAAACAAAATTAGTTCTCTAAAACCAGAAGAAAATCTTCTTTAGAGCTAGTGCAAAGACAGCTTGTATTCTACAGCAAGTACTCCAAACTATGGTATAATAATTACAAAAAATATATATAAATTGACAAAATGAGAGTGTTGGCATCTTCAGGATTAACTTGAAGCACTTTTGGATGAACTGGAGGATGAAAGCCTAGATGATGGCACGTCAACTGTCGCTCTCTTACGAGGTCCTCTTTTTGGTGTAGGCTTGCTGATACAGTTCTCAATGCTGCCGTTTTTACCAGATACTTTTCCACAGATTTGATTGACTAGACTGATTATTTGTTCCTGTTCAGGAAGCGAGAAAAACAAAACACAGATTAGCACCTGCTCTTTCTCCAGTCACTTCTGATGGACAGATCTAATGCTGCTGGTTTTGACTGAAAGCACCTAACTGGGGGTGGGGAAATGTACATGTTTGCAAACCATGCAGAAGCTTGGCTCAGATACTAATTATTCACAAGCAGAAGTTTAGTAAAAAGTACTGTGTAGAAGTCAAAACAAAGAAGCCCTTGCTTCCCTCCTCCCCCCCTTTCAAATTTGAAGAATAAAGAAGCTCAGCCACAAGGTTACTGCAGTAGGGTCAGAAATGTTCTTCAGATGCCATTTAAAACCTGCTACTGCACAAATGCCATAAATTCAAATCCACAGTAACATTGCTTATAATTTACTGTTTACTAAGTATGTCTTTCAAATTTAAGATGATTCCACTTTTTCCTTGTGACAGTGTCGTCACTGGCTCTGGGATGCTGCTTTCATTTAATGCACTATGATGAGCAGGAGACAGGAGTCCTCAACCTGCAAATCAGTGTCATGGCTACAATGCCACTCCTAATTCCAGTATATTCATGGTGTTGGGGAAGTTTCGGGGAAGTGGGGGAAGATTTTTCTGAACTGGCTGTGCCTGCCTAGTAAGAACATTTAGAAGTGATCTGTGCAAAATTGAAACAGCCTCTTAATTCAGGTGACCTTACAGTTAACAAGTGGCATTTAACGTCCAGGTTACCTCTCTCCCCATTCACAGCCCTTAAAAAAACATCTGTGATAATAACCAAACATGCAGTTAGGATCTTTCAGAAATGTAGAAACTTTGTGATAGTTTCTTAAATTTGAAAGAAAAAAAAAAAATCATCCAGTATTTAAGTCTCCTTTTTTTTGCCTTTCCCAACTCAGCCTAAAATACCTACTCTGTAAATATAAAACCTAGCAAAATTAATTATTTTTTGTGACCCTCCCGGAAGGGTTGGCTTTGAAAAACCTCCACAGGTTGAACGGATCTGTGAAAACAGAGGAAGTAAGGGACTGAATAATCTCAAGAATAAGAGAAATGTTAAAATTTCTGAGTAACTTCCCAAAACTCCTCAGTGTTTATCCCATGACAAGGGCAGTTTCACTGTTGCCTGGTCTTAGGCTGTACTTGTTTCTATCTACAGCACCTGAGACCAGAGCTGAGTCTACAACTGCGAATGAAGAAAGCTGCCAAGGGCATGATCTGACCTTTTGGGGGCTTTTCCCCCATATCCCTGTGCATACATCAGAAATTGCCGAGAAGCCTGTGGCAAAAAGCTGCTTGTACCAGCACTGAGCTCCAAGAGCTGATTTTGTAACTTCTCCCCCTGCTTCCTTATCCAGCGTTCGAGCTAACAGTAAAGTGCTTCCCACTCTCTGTTGCCCACCTTTCCCCACACAGAAGGGCTGCCCACAAATGGGGTAACCAGGCAGGTGAAGAGGCATCACTGAACTGGACTGCAGTGTCACAC